ACCTCGTGAACACGCGCTGGATTCTGCACTGGGCCACAAGTGGGTTCTTCCTGGGTAAAATACAATCGTGGAGTGCCACTAACGGCAGAAAACGAAACCTTTCTTTCGCGTAATGAATCTGTTAAGATTGTCTTTGAAGTCTTATATAAGCATTGTCTGTGTGCTTATTCTTTCCCGCTGTTGTTTATTATTATAAACGGAACTTCGTGAACTATTTTAGGATTTAAGGTATCTAAAGTCTAAGTAAAATATCTTTTTGAAGTCAATTGATCTGCTGACTTTAGGAAAAATTATGAAAGTATATAACCAGCATGCAGAGTTTTAGTAAAAAGGAAGTGATTGATTTTAGGAATTTTTCACTTTCCGCTGTTTCTTTTGCTTTCATTGGCTTGCATTTTTTTGATCTTTGTTATTTATTTCATTTTCTCTATAATAATAATCGGGTTGTGAGATGCGTCTATGATTTACTCATCGTTTCTAATGCCTCGATGAGCTATTCTTTAATTGTGTTTATCATTGGTGCTAACTGGCAATGAAGATGTATTTGGTCGAAGCTTAGAGATTAGAGCTGATTTATTTACTTATATAGATCCAGATACTCCCTTTTCAGTTGTCACATTGGAATTTGCGTTAATTATTTTCTTCTCTCTCTTTTGTTGGGTAGCAGGTAAATTATAATTCTCAATTAACAAATAAATGTATCATCCTGTCTCAAAAAGTAAGAATGAGCTACAAATTTGTATATTTAGCAGATCTTGAAATGTATTACATCTGCCAATATCTGCAGCATGATAGTATATTGAGTAGTTCTGATGACGTCGTGGAGAACTGCATGTGGGTATCAAAGTGTACAGCACTCACTGCTTGTGGCTCTGTTAATGAAAAGTGAGGCCGCAACCATGAATTCCTATGTGCGATGGCCTTATTGAACGCGCTGATGATATGTTGCTTCTGTATGTACTGTCCATTATATTTGGTAGTGGTGAGAGAATTTCGCCCATTTGCTAAAGAATCTTCGTAGAATAGCAATGTGTAATGACTTGGTGTTGCTCAGTAGGTTACAATTGTGTGGCAGTGCAGCATTGGTGCAGCAGCGGATAAGGTGCATCGTCACCACAGAAGCTTTCATAAACCTTTTCGTTGGGAAAAACACGATATACACTACCGGTCCCATGCAAGGGCATGTGATGAGTAAGGGAACATGGTCAGGCGCTTGTAAATTGGTTGAAAAGCTCATGGACTACCAGGGACTTGGAAAGGAGCTTTCAAATCCGGTTCTTTACAGGTATAGTTCCTTCAAATACACTTTTGCAAACGGAGAAACACGAACATTTAGCAACAGGTCAGCGCGCGCTAGGTAGAATATTCATTCTATAAATGCATTGAACAAAATTTAATCAAAGGAAAAGAGTGGCACCAAAAGCAATTTCCCCTTCGACGCATTCTGTAGGTGTGATGATAAAAAAAATGTTCTGCATAAAAGTCGACGTTTTTAAAGGGAAAAAGTCGACTTGTTGAAGGGTACTGTAGGAATGTAAAACGCACCGCATTATAGTCGCAGCACACTCGTAGTGTATCCTTTTTCTGCCATATACACACCTGCATTCATACACAACCCCTCATACGCCAGGTATCCGCCTCCCACTCCCTTCCTGACAATTAGTTGTGGCTTCCTTGCCAAAAACATTTGTCATCACTCGCGGATAGCATAAGCGGCTGAAGTAATTAACAACTGACTGAATGCTCTGCTAGAGGGTTTCACCGAGACCAATACGTGCCTCTATTCTGCTTTAAACAAGCTCTACTAACCACATAAAAAAATAAATGCCCCCCCCCCCCCCTGAAGATTAGGAATGCGATGACGGGTGCACCACTGCCCTTCAAGTACGAAGGAACGATTAAATGTGCTTTTTCGTTATTGAATCTCTTTTAAACTTTGTGTACGAAAGGAGGTGAAAGGAAATTCTACTGTGACGGTTTGAGTGCATGAGTGCGCTAAACATATTTTTTTGTCTAATGAACGTGAAAAGAGGTAAATGCTACCCACTGTAAATGTATATTTTGCAATTCAGTACGAGTGATCCAGGCATCTCAAGCTCAGTGTGATATAAAATCAAATTATTTGAGTCCTAGAAAATTGAAGAGTAGATGATTCCTTTCAGAAGGAAAAGCTCTCAAGTAATGGACAGTAATCAGTGTTGTTATTCATTATTTCAATTCTTCCATCCGAGCACGTCCCCTTCCCCTCTCTTGGCTACGTCTCTCTACAGAGAGCAGCAGTTTTAATGGGTGTGTTTCTTTGACCATTAAGCAGGGCATTTCCTGAACTTTTACACAATATGTTATTCACCACAAAGTGGAATTCCTTTCCCCCGGGTGTGATCATCTTTGGCTTAAGTCCATACATATATATTCGCATGGCACAGTAATGAGGTATTGAAGAATCACTGTGGCCAAGACCCGTATTTGGTTCCCCTCCCTAACCCACTTTCCTACCTAAACATGCAGCACTAAACACTGACAACACGCTAGGAGGGTCGGTGTTGTAAGGGAATCGATAAATATTACTCCTAAGAAATGAATAATCTTATCGGGATCACAAGGAAAATTATGGACAATGTTGAATAAAACGTGAATAACTCCCCCCCTCCCAACGGATCGTGTAATTCTCACCAACCTCAAGACGACACAAATTTTGACGGGTAACACGAGGAAGAGATAGAAAAACTAAGAGTTAAATGTCAGCGAAGGATATTTTCCAATAGGAATCAATCTATAATGTGGTTTGATTTACATCATTGTCTAACCTCCTTGATTGATGAAATTACGAGCAGTACACACATAGTGAACTTCCCCCTCCATACTTGTGTTTTGCATATTTCCTTACCCTCTACTCTTGTTGAGCTTCTCATGTTTATTCGAATAGTTTTTTGTATTAAAAACAGAAACAGAATTAATTCAAAACAAAATGCGAGTTTCCTCTTTGTCACGTGTCGATTGGTTTTTAATGAGAGGTATTTTTCGATTTCGTCTTTCTATTAATATATATATAGTCGATGCAGACACCTGACTGATACCTCACGATTGTGTTTAAACTCGCCATGGAAGTCAGGCAATAACAGTGGCCTCACCTATTCATTCCTTCATAGTTGAATGGGCATGCAGCAGGTCGTTAAGGTATTATCACGATGAGTGGGCACAGGGAAGGAAATGGGTGAGGAAAGGATGAACTATTTGGTTTCTAGATGTTTCTAGGCGGTAACTCCCTTCCCCCCTCGCGCGTGATTTACAACAATAAAAATATATGGGGATCTTTTCTAAATATTCTATATTGACCACACTGCCAGATTAGAGAATTGTTGTGATTTCTTCAGCATTTTTATTTCATACATCGTATTCCTTAGAATTATATTCCTAATCGTTGTTATCAATACATAGGCCTCGTGCGCGCCCAATTGGGGTTCTAGAGAGTGAGGAGGGGGGAGGGATCAGTCATTCGCAACAGTAATAATACGGAGACCCACAAAAGGGGAGAAAGGAAGTATACTTTTCCCGAGTGCTATGAGGCAGTCCCTTAGTCAATGTTGTCACTCACATGACCGGTTTATATTAGGGAAGGCATGCAGCACGGCTATTTTTACTGCTAGACGTGGGAACTTCATCGGGCAATTTGCGTCTGCTAGTCGCCCACTCTGCAATGGTTATGTCGGCGTCATCGCACTGCACATCTCCGTGCGTCGCTACGTCAATGCATTATATCGCATCCCTCCACTCCATACTGTCCCCACACATACACACAGCGGCGAGGAGGTCGATGGCGAGCTCCTCCTTGCTCAATTAAGGGGTTTATTCAGCATACTTGCCGGGACGCAGCTCGTCGACGCGGTACACGAGATGCGCAGCAACCCCTATTTTGAATGCATCTTTACCGCAGATTTGTTATTCCAGCATTATGACCTCATTCTGCCCATGCCAAAGCTCAGTCGCGAGTTCCGCTCATCGGAGGTGAGCGAAACGCTCAGATACATGCGCAGCTGTGGCGCGAGTGGCGATGTGAACCACCTTCTGCAAGACACGAAGGGTGGTCGTGCAAGCGGCATGGACTTCGTCTCGACCACTCACGGCATCTTGATGGGCTTCGGTACATCGCGCACCAACAAACTGGCGGCCATGTCTCTAATGGGGCTCAACACAGAGACTGGTACACAAGACAACGCAATCCGAGCGCTGAACGTCGAGCCAATTGAACTGCCGGAAGATAGTGCACCGCTGTCGGATCTCATCGCTTTTGGTGGGCAACGGACATTTATGTACAAGGATACCGCACATGGCCGTGGGGCGGTGCAGCTTGCCGTCGAGCGAATGCCAAAGCTGAGCGCACAGACCCTTAAAATAGAGCCAGGGTGTTCAGTCCTTTCTCACCTGTGCGGTGTAAGTCCGGTGTATGACGTCCTGTGCGACCAGGACTTCCCCCTATCGATGGAGCGTATCGGAGAATGCGGCCTGAACCCGTTCCCAGTCGAGTGGTCTGAACCACGTAAGCTGGGGATCACGATGCGTAGTGTGTGTCTGATCGCGAGATTCGCTCACGGTTCCTTGAATGCGGGTGGATACGCCGCAAGTGCGACTCCAGCGGCTTCGAAATCCAACTACTATAGCAAAGATGCGTCCAAAAATACGCGTCTGTTCCGAGGTGGACACCGCATCCATGGAGATCAGGGGGCGCCGTTGGAAGCACAGATTCGCTCAGGAGAGCTGATGAATCCGGTTTACCAGCGCCCCCCGCGGTATCGGCCACCTATGCATAGGCAAGGATCTATCGTGCGGCACTAATTCATCGTTTCATAAGTAAACGCGTCGCATACGGATATTGCGAGCAACTGAACAGAGCAAAAGCAGTACTTGACAAAAGGTGATGTGGATGGGAAGAAAGGTGTTGTTAATAATAACAGAAAAAAAAAGAAATGTGATCTGAACTTTACCTCATGGGGGAAGGGGGGCTCTATGTGCAGTTTTGAGGTGAAAAGAAACTAAATCGGTGCAACCCCCGATTTTTATCTCTAGTTACTCCCTATCTTGTAAACGTTTTATGTGGACGTGGGGTGGTTTGTGCTTATGCTGAGATCTCTAAGCTCTTGATTTTCTTCATTAATTTGCTGATCTTTCATCAAGTCAGTCACCGTCGAATCATAAGAAGTACGTAGTAAAGGAGTAATAAACCTAAGAAACAGATAGTATTATATTCAATCTTACAGAGTTATATATAGAGAAAGAGAGAAGGGGGGGTCTGCACTGGGTGGTCAGACACATAATTCATAGTGTAGGAAGTATGTCAGACGCAGGCATAGTGTCCAGGGGCATCTTACAGCAGGTGGGCGAAGGGAGCCAAAATCCACACCCCAGTTTGTCTATAGAGCATCTTCTACACGAAAACACTGCATTGAAGTCAAAACTCGCTCTATCTGAGGACCAACGTGTGATTGAAAACATCACAAGGCATCAGCTCCAGAACTTCCTCATCACAGCTACACAAAGGCAACCGCTATGGAACTACGGACCGCATACCACCACGACGTCTCTTTCGGTAGCACTTCAAAAGTTGTGTGAGGAAAAGGCTGAGCTGGAAGCGGAGTTGCAGCGCACCCGAATCGAAACCACACAAACGCTAAACCACCGCATCAACGAACTGGAGCAGGAGCGAAAGGTGTTGCAAACACGCCTGCAGGAGTTTGAAATGCGCGTCAATGACATTCCTCCGCGTCCGTATGCAGTGGAATTGGATCAACTTCGTCAGTCGGAGGAGCTGCTGCGTCAGCAACTGAAGTTCGCACAGGAAGAAAACGTCGTGATGGTGGATAGACTCAAGGGGGTCCTTGCAGAGGAATTGGCGGTTCTACCAACGCACATAGAGAAGGCTGAGGCGGCCCAAGCTGCCCTGCGGGAGTCACATAGATTGCGGGCGTACTTGGAGGTGGAGATCGAAGAGCAAAGAAAACGGTTTGAAATCCTCCATGAGTTGCAAGAATCTAGGGCTGAGGATGCGCGTCTTTTCCACCAACAGGAAACGCTAGTGTGGCAACAACTACTCGGAGCTGCCTTGGAACGTGAGCGCATCTTGTTAAATGAGAGGGCAGCATTTGAAGTGCAGGCTGCTGCAGCGGCCCAACGACAAGTCGATGAATCCAAGTCAGTGCACGACAGTGTCATCATACAAGGAGAAGGATCCTTCGCGATAAAGCGGACACGGGTGGAAACTAGTCAGAACCCGCAGTCTGATGAATCAATTCGAACGAGATATGTCCGTTTTTGGCACGACGGACACGCGCGCGTTGCTGCACTGGAGCAGCGCGTTCATGAACTAGAGTCTACTGAAGGGGCCACCCGTGTTTTGCAGGGACGCATAGCGCAATTCGAGCGCGAGCGTACAAATCTGACTGTGCAGCTTGTCAATCTGGCTGACGCCTTGAGCGAGGTCCGCGAGACAAATCATCAGCTCCGGGCACAATACGTTGGTCTGGAGGTAGAGCGAGATCAGCTACTTGCACGACTGACCGAAGCGCTTGGGGGGACAATGCAACACGATGAATTGGTGGCGTGCTCAAGTGCAATTCGAGAGGCCGCGTCGCGTCAGTCTGCCGCGAGTGCGACAACCATCACAGATCCTGAGGGTCTCCAGCAAGCGATGCGACAAACGCGCGAACTGAAGAACGAGATTGTCCAATTGCAGCGCCAAAAAGAGAACTTACTCCGCTGCATTACCCTACGCGAGGACCGTGTTGAAGCAATGCTTAAACGTGAGGCGATGCTGGTTGTGGAGGGATATGCACCTAGCACAGCCCAGGTGGGGGACGAGACATTCCCTTTAACGAACTTTTTGGAGCTTGTAGAGCGAAGCGCCAAGGATATTTTCGCGGCGAATGAAGCGTGCGCATGTGATCCCCCCGGCAATATTCATCTCGCGCCAGAACCAAAAGGCGTGAGTCGCCATCACGGGATCTTTCTTAGAATCCAACAAGATCTCAATGAGAGCCAGATGAGGCTCCGTGACTTGTATCTTAAACTGCAGGAAAGCAACGCCAAGTGCCAGCACCTAACTGCAGATCTTGTGCGCGCTGAGGCTGAGAGAGTCGAACTTCTGTTCTCAAAAAATACCATCGAAGATGCCTTACGGACTGCGAACGCGGCAATCGAAAGTCTAACGAACCGTCTTGCAAGCCAGCATACGGAGTACGATTCGATTCTCACGCTTCAGAAGCAAACACAGACGGCGTTCGCCTGTGTGTTCGAGCTGTATCGAGAGGAAACACAACTTGTCGAAGGACTACGTGCCCTTGTGCAGCAAGAGCGAGAAGATATTATCGAACTAGTTCGTCGGGAAACCGAAGCTTGGCTGGGCGCCAATGATGGAGCCACCCATGAGCAATCTGTGGACATAAAACCTATCATAGACGCACTCGAGCGCCTGAATAAATCCATGCAGGACGACGTAACACAGGCTATGCTAAACAATAGCGCGGAATCAACAAAGTGTCTGGCAACGCTCGTAGAGTCCGTGAAGGATCAAGAGGAGCGCCTTGATTGTATTCAGAAAGCGTATACCGAGTCAGCCACGCAACTAGCGACTTCCCTTGCGGAGCGCATCATCAACGCGAAGTCCCAATGGGAAAGTCAGTGGCGCGACAAGCATCTCGCCCTGGAGCACGAGTGTGCAAAGCAATCCCTGCATTCCTACGCCACTCGAAAGGTTCACGAAGCTTTAGAACAAGTTGCTGTCGAAATGAATACAAGCGTAAACACCCCTTCGCGGAGTTCAACCTCTTTACAAGAAACAGTCACACCGCATAGTGCGGACGCAAAAAATGGGGAGTGCGCCTTGACTGCGATAAGCGTCTTCTTAAATAATTTGAAAGGCAGCGTAAAAAATCTAAATTATCCCAACGAGCGGGATCCCGAAAGCTTACCCGTCAACAGAGCATCCAGTATGATAACGTCAAATGAAAATAAAGACAGAACAATTTGAGGATCCATGTATTCATTATAAAACACGAACCCATTGATAAACGCTGAAATAACAAAGAAACATAACTTATATGAAATGTAAAGATAAACAAAACTAAAATAGAAATAAAATTAAGTAATAAATAGTCTACTAAACTACCCTTGAAATATCTTTTCAAAGTCTTTACAAAAAAAAAATACAATTTATTTTCCTATAAAGAAAATAAACTCTAATCTAGCAGCAAAGTACTCATAGGAATGGCAACAAACACCAGGGCATTATCCCCATATCCTTCGGGTATAAAAAGACGCCAAAGGGGTGCGAGTGAGAGTCCACTCTGACCTCCCAACAGTCAACTTGCGTAGACGAATTAAAAAAAAATTAAAATGTATATATCTTGGAAGGGTTCACAAGGGGTGATGACGTCACTTATGGATGCGCCCACCCCCCTTGCGTCTTGGTGTTACTTCCTATTTGCGATTCATTACACACGCCACTCATCGACGATGATACTGCAGTCCAAGCGGTCGTCCGTTACGTCGAAAAAAAAAGTAGCCCAGGCCACTACACAGCACAAGTAGAATCGTTTATTCGCTTATTTATCGACCCACTTCCATCCCCAACACACACACCTACAGCCTCGAGAGCGGCTTCCCGCCGGCAAAGAGCGACGGCAGGCCCTCATCCCTGAGGGGAAGCCTGAGTAAGTCGTGCAGGCTCGCCCTGGCGTCCTTCTGCTTGTGCACGACAAGGTACACCTCCCTGCAAAGGGGCATCGAGACCTTCAACTTCTCCGCGAGCCGGAACAGCGGCTCCGACGTCACCACGCCCTCCGCAAAAGCCTTCGCATCGCGCATGATCTCCGCCATCGTCATGCCCTTGCCGAGCTTGTTGCCCACCGTGAAGTTACGCGACAGCTCAGAAGAGCAGGTCAGCGTCAGGTCGCCAAGCCCGGCCAGACCAAAGACCGCCTGTCCGTTGCCGCCAAGCGCCTGCGTCAGGTCACGAATCTCGATCAGTCCACGCGAGATGAGCGCAGCACGGGCGTTGGTGCCCATCCCGAGCCCGTTCGCCGCGCCAGAGGCGATGGCAAGCACGTTCTTGACGGCGCTCGCCACCTCGCAGCCGATTGTGTCCAGCCCGGCCCAGCAGCGGAACATCCCGTCCGGCGTCGACAACATGCGCTGGATGCGGCGCGCCTCCTCGAGGTCGTCGGACGCCACCGTCACGTTCGTCAGCATGTCCTTCGCCACCTCAATCGCAAAGCTTGGGCCCGCCAGGACGCTGACACGGACGCCCGGCAGGTACTCCATGAGGATCTGCGCCGGGAACTTCAGCGTGGATTGCTCGATGCCCTTGGAGCACACTACCACCGGCACACGGTTCGCCCTCACGTGGTCAAGCAGCCCCTTGGCGTGCACCTTCAGGAATCCACGCATAAACGGCGTCGGGATGACAAAGAAAATGATCTCAGCCTCCCGGTACGTGTCCTCGACATCGGCAGTGTAGGAGATGCTCTTCGCCAGGGGCACGCCCTTCAGGAACATCACATTCTCCCGCTTCTCGTTGATGAGATTCGCCTCGCCGGCGTTCATGTGCCACACCTTCACCTGCTCGCACTTCTTAGCCAGCACCGTCGCCAGCGCGGTGCCGAAGGCACCCGAGCCGAAGACGGCTCCCTTCTTAAGGAACTTGAGACCGGCAACGTCCGCTTGGCTGGGCATCTTGCGTGGGGCTTGGAGGTTGGTAAACGAATTCGATAATCAAGTGGATTGCGTTCCTATTATTAGTAGTAGTGGTGGTAGTAGTAGTAGTAGTAGCAGCAGTAGCAGTATTCGCAGGTGTGCACAGCGATAAGTCATCGGGCACCACGGCGAATATGGCAAAAATATTCGAAAGCAAGCGACAAAATGAGGCAAGGAGAGTGAAAAAGGGTCAACCTAATGGTTCCAACACTTGGGAGAAATCAGTAAAAAAAAAACAATCCAACACACTTACACGTGTCGGAATTACATCAGGTGTTTGGAAATACATAGTAAAGAGTAAGCCT